TTTGAAGATATTTTGGTTTTTCACATGTTAAAATTGAATTGTTGCTGTAAGAAGTAACAATCCTCGGCGTTGAAGAGATTCTCTGAGGCATCAATGGTATCTAGCCAAGGGTTGTTGCTTTGCTCCAAGGACTGAATATCTATTCCATAGTTGTAGTGATTACCGGAGAACTCTTTGAGACGGTTCGGATTAGGATTATTAATGGAAATGCTGTTGTTGTTGTTGATGCTGTAATAATAGGTGAAATCCGAAAGCGGTGAGAGTTGAGTAGCGAAAGAGTCCGACGATGCTGCGGTGGTGCTGGAATTCTCTAAGGTATAACTCGAGGAGTTCACTTGGGCGCCTCCAAGGTGGTCATCGGGGAATACAGTTTTCATCGATCCCACAAACGAAGTTGAGGTGGTGGCAGATGCGGTGGTAGCCACCATGATGTTGGAGACGGCGGTGGCAGCTTGAATTCTTTCCACTAACCTAGGCATCCAAAGGTAACGCACGGTGTCTTTGAATTGTTTGCTGTTCAAGTCACACTTGAGTTGCTTCGCATGTTTCTGGACTCGAGTTCTCCAGTAGTTCTTGATCTCATTGTCCGATCTTCCGGGCAAATGTTGGGCGATTTTGGACCATCTTCAATTAAAAAAAAGTATAACATGAAAATTAATCTTTATAATTTCAATCTGTGACTTAAATAGTAGTTAGTTATTAAAATAACAGTAACGGTCATTTGAAACTATTATTATATTATCGTCAGATCCGTAATAACATCTGTTATGTTATCAATCTTGATAAAGACAACATAACTTATAGCAATTTAAATCTACCATCTAAGAAAGAAAAAGAAAAATCGATATATAGTTTTTAGGTTAATAAATCAAATAACCTGTTTCCCCAACGAGAGTGAAGTTTAAGAATCAAAAGTTGCTCTTCAAGAGTGATATTCCCACGTCGAACATCCGGCCGGAGATAATTCAACCATCTTAACCTGCAGCTTTTTCCGGTCCTTTTGAGACCTAATTTTTACAGAAAAAGAATTATAAACTGTTACAATCAAACATCGATTCAACATTCAAGGCCCAAATAAAAAGTTTTCATTTAACAAAACCAGGAAAAGCGACATGAAGAAGAGAACAAGACCAGAAGAACCATAAACATAAAGTTGATGGGCGACATGTTAATATCAGCCAAAAAAGAAAAAGGGGGACCGACCAATAACAATAAATATTATTATTACCTGCGCAATGAGCAAGAGAGTTCCATCGACCTTCACCATGAGTGGCAATGTAATCGATGAGCTTAAAGTCTTCTTCTACAGTCCAAGGGCCTCGCTTCAACTCCATATCTTCGTCTTCACTGCTTTGAACATTTGGGGCACACTCCCTTGCCTTAACATCCATTTCGGTTTATTCCTTTCAGGAAAAAAGAAAGGATAAAATTTGAGTGAAAGATAATATTTTTTGGCAGAGAGGAGAGAAATGAATAAAGAAATGTGTACAGAGAGACAGAGAGAGAGAGAGGGGGGGTTGTTTCCATGTGATAAGATAGAGAACTGGGGGATTTATATAAGGGAGATTGGATTGAAAATGGAGGTAAAGCCGCAACGGGAACTTGGGTTTTTTTTATTATTTTATTAATTAAATAAAATACATAAGCCCTCTTAGGCTGTAATTATAGTTAGCAACAGCCAACAGGGTTTTAAAGTTTGGCTCTTTGACCTTTTTTTTTTAGTTTATACTTAATATAAACAAATTATCAAATTATACCTCATTTTAATATAAGTGTTTAAATTTCTTCAATTAACGTAAGTTTTTAACATTACAAATATTACTATTTTAAATTTTTATGTCATAACAATAGTTAAGAAAATTCTTTAAAAATCAACCAATCAATCAGTATTTGATATGTGATATAATTTTTTTAATTTTCTTTAATTTAAAAAAACTAAAGTTTATAAGTTTTTTTTAAACGATCAACTTTTCCTAGTCTTAGAAAATACCTAAAAATCTTCAATTTTGTCTCTCACCATTATCATCGTCGGCGATCACTCACATGTTGAGTAGAATGAATATGTGTTGGGATTTATGATTTAGGAAATTTGAGATTGAGGTTGCAGGTGACAAGCGTCAATGAATGAGTAGGTGATTGGGGAGGGGGCAGGGGCACCAAAGGAAGGTGACAACCAAGCAGTGAGATTAATGTTTATAAATTTTTTGAAACATAATAATAAAAAAAATTAAAATACAAATTTTAAAATAACATAAACATGACACGTGTAGCATTTTGAGTGATTGATGACATCTTTTTAATGGTCATTAGGCGTATATATTTTAACTGATAACTTTAAACATTAATATTGATCGAAAAAAGTTTTAACGCATAAATAAAAAAATATATACTTTGAATAGTTTTTATATTATGCCTTTATTTTTTCATAAAAATTAAATTTGATATTATTATTTTTAATAATATCGATTTTAAAATTTGAATATATTTTTTTTTCATAAAATATATTTATTACTACACTGGATACTCATTAAAACTTCTTAAATGAATATATGATTTATGGATTTTTTTCCTTCAAAATATTTATATATTAATTGAATAATTGACAAACATAATTTTTAATAATGGTATTAATTTGGACTAAATTTTAAAATTAAATATAATAAATAGATGAAAATCATCTAATTTAACCTAATTGATTATTTTATAGTTTTTTCATTTTTTTCATTTATTTATTTTCTTCTCTTTGTACCAAGTTATCTGTCTGCATGGCAGCTGAAAATTTTAGCGGAACAAACTGCAAACTCCCCATTCCTGTTTAGTTTTCAGTTCACATTACATTTAGAAAACCCTAATTATAAGGAAACTAAATAATAAAAATGATTTTTATATGAATTTTTTAATATATATTTATAATATCAGTTTTAGCTCTATAACAGTAGCATTAGGGCGGCTTCTGCAATGTTTATATTACAAGATATGCTAACACTTTTCCCCCCAGTTTCTCACTTGAATCGGTTGAATGAGCATGAGCCTGAAATTATCTTTTAATACAGATAATTAATGTACATAATTAAAAGTAAAATTGGGGAAATTGTTAAGCTTCGCCAAAAATAAAAAATATTTGCTAGAGAAGCCAAAATGATAAGGAAATGCCAAATAGTGTCCAGGCAATTTATTTCTACAGCATATTTTATTTCATTAAGAAAAGAAGTATTTTTTGAGGTTACCAGTGCATTCACAACTATAATTACAATACAATTGTAACAACTCGAATTCTCATATCAATATTCGAACGTTGATCCATGTCTTAGATGAAACAAATTAGTAAGTACGATTAGATTTATTAGATAAAGTCCGGTTTAATCGGATGAGAATTAAGCTCAATTGATCATAAAAACAAAAGAGATTTTTGTGTTGAAAAGGAAAGATGGATTAAAAGTGTGATTTGGCTATGGATGAAAATCATGGCTGAAATCTTATTCAATATATTTGTTTGGATGGGGATGGGAATTAAGCTCAATTGCTTCACACTAGAGCATTAGTCTTCGAAAGAGTGATATCTCTAATGATTTCCAATAGTGTGGGATTGAAAAATGTAAGAATCATTGCTCTCATTCCATGAGCTTCAAGAAAAATTCACTATCTTCTCAAAAATCTGGTGTAAATCTCCTTGAAGGGTTTTGGAGGGATTTAGGCTATCTAAGCCTTTTCATTTAATTCTAATTTATTTTTAAGTTGTAAACTTGTAATTTTATTTCCCCTCTTATTTGATTAGCTAAAGAGGTTGGTGAGCTCTCTAGATATAATGGTAAGGAGAAAGTTAAAAGTAGTTAATAAAGGAACTTTCTTTGATGGTTTGCTTTAAGGTAGCACACCTCTAACTTTGAAATGATTCATGAAACACTACAAGAAAATATACCTTTAATGACACACGAACGATGACACACGATAATTTATGACTTGCAAAACATGTATGTCATAAAAAAATGTCATGTTTCTTAAAATATGAACGAATTATGACTTACAATAATGTGTCATATTTAATAGTCATAATCCAAAAAATTTGCAAAAACACGGAGTACACTTTTAATTGTGTGTCATATGTAAAAGTCGTCTTTTAATTTTCCCCCCCCCCCCAATAATTTTAATCCTTTCCCGCTTCTTCCCCTCAATCATCAGTTCACACTTTTGCGTTCATGTTACCAAGAAACACAATATTGAGAGATCAGATGGAGAATGCTTCTTCCCCAAACCCTACCCCGCCAAAATCCAAACGAAAGCACCCAAAATCATCTAAGGAGGACCAATTGGCTCGCTTCAAAGGGGTCAGTACTCTTTCTCGTCTTTTTAATTTGATGGTATTTCAACGAAATACTGGATATTTTTTGGTGTCCCGACTTTGCTTGGGGAAAACCGCAACATTATGGAGATAAGAAAAAAGAAGATGAGTTGTTTCCCTTGCTTTAATCCTCATTCTAAAGATTCAAGGATCGACATTGACAATGGAAGTCAAACCACTTCTCGCCATTATGTGATTCCTCAGGTTTCCTTTTCATTTCCCTTTTTCTCATTACTTTTATGTACAATCTTGCTTATCTGTAAACTCTTTCTTCGTTTTTGTAACCAGTTTCATGCGCTACAAGAAGAAAGGCAATTCTAAAAGGTAATGCTAATTATTCTAACACCAAATTTCTCTGGAAACTTTCTTCTTTCCCAGTGGATTTGATTATTAGTTTGTTTGAAATTTTGGTAACAAAGCATAAGAAAGGAAATGATCAGGGGCTCCAAAGGCAATGGGGCGCATAGTTTCACATTCTGGGAGTTAGCAACGGTAACAAGGAATTTCAGGGAAACTAATTTGCTTGGGGAAGGAGGATTCAGAAGAGTTTTCAAAGGAGAACTCTAATTATTTTGATATTTATGGACCTCAAGTACACTTTTTTTTGGCTCTTTCTTTTCATATTTTCTGTAGAGATTATATTGATATGTTTTAGTATAATGGGGGAATGTGATGAAACATAAAGCCTTCCCTTTGCAGGCAAAACCAGAACTTGTTTTCAAGACGCCAGAAGCTGACAATACTTTGAATTTGCAAGTAAGTTTCTGGAAATCGAATTTATGTCAAAAGAAAAGAAAAAGAAACATAGTTGAAGTTTGGGTCTTTTTTTGTTTTGGTACCAGGATGTTCAAGGTCTTGTTACTTGGGTTCTTGCCGATGGATTCATGCCTTCCTGGGTTTTTATTAAGGTATATAAATAGTATAATTTTATGTATTGAACTTTATACTTGGTTTCCTTATTAATGTGTAGAACAATTTTTTTATAAGTTATATAAGAAGACGTTCTTATTTTATATTGTTTGCAGAATAAACCACTGATTCCGAAAGTTGTAATGCTTTATGCCCCTAGCTTGGATGCAGCTTTGTACTTGGCACAATCCATGAAACTTTCTGGTTTGAAAAAAAGTTGTGGCAATCCTCGGCCGCTTTTAGCTTTTAGGTTTGTAATGACCTTGTTTATGCATTTCTTGTCTATCAGAAATATGCTCGGTGTGAATTGAAATACAATGTGTTTATGAATCTATTTTTTTGTTGTAGCTATGTATCCGATGGGATGCAGATAATAGACGTACTCCTGATGTGCACGGTGAAGAGAAAGAGAAATGTGATCGATTCGGTGAAGGAAATAAGCCAGCCTGCTGAACAAGGTGCAAAATCTATCTTTGAAGTTGAACGGTCCGATTCTTTGCTTGCATGAGTTTCTTACTTGTATGGTGGAATTAGATTCTTTAAGGGTTAGTTGGTTTTCATTAGAGGATTATCAGTCCCAACTTGTGTGACTAGAAAAGCAAAGCTTTGGGGACAGTAAACATGTGACATTTACTCATCTGGCGGTCTTAACTAACTTTCATGGGATAGAACAAAAGTATTTTAGTTGTTCTGGACTTGTTTATAGTGGTGCTATCAAATGGTTAAGATTCATATCCACTTTCTTACTCTGCATAGCTTAACCATTAGATTAACAAATTTTTCATCATCACTCATTCCCATCCTTGTACCAGACTTTGCCTAAGTGTTGTACGGAATAAATCTTGCCAGAGCTTTCGGCATCCTTCAGTGGGATTCAATCTAGTTGATTCCTTTCAAGGGTGTTTTGAAGCTTGGGCTGTATGTTATAGTGCAATATATAATATAATCTTTTACTTTGTAACATGCCCTAACTTGATTCCAACTACTGTGCCCAAAAAAATATTAAAGGATGCTACATTGTATACTCTTGTATGATTTTTGGAAAGTTCTAGATCTGATATCATGCATTTGCTTTAGCCTGTAATGTGCTGTGACCCTTTCCTTTCAAATGATGTAATTCGATGTTCTAGTCACCCCACTCAGTCTGTCAACTTGCAAAAATAACTTGAAGTAGTTGGAGTTACTCAGAAAAAAGGCATATACGTTTATTCAAAAATAAGTCTATTGTCACTCTTACAATTATGGGGTCAAAGTTATCTTTTAATCAAAACAAGTGTTCTGAAATTTGGTTCAGAGCTTTTTGTATTTGCATGTCTCAGTCTATATGCTCATCTCTCTCATTTTTAGGAGAGCATGGAAAATGAAACGAATGGCAGCCTCTTTTATTGCTTGCTTATTTCCATTGGCATTTGTTGACATTTTTTTCTTCCCTCTCAACCTTGATGCTTCTAAACCCTATAGACAACTATTATTAAATATGGTAGCTAAATTTAGGTGCACTAATGACTTCTAAACTTTTGCATACATCATCTGAAACAAAGTTGAAGGTTGAACTGTCTTTGGTTGATCAAACTTTTGTCCTCCCAAATTACACAAGGCAGAGTTTGCAGTTCTGGTATGACTGGTTTTGCCTTTCACTGTTGGTGCTTTCCCTTAGTCCAAATCATCTAGTTCATCGGTTATGTCGATATTTGATTCTCACGGATATTGTGTGGTCCCTTTGTTTCCAACACAAGGAGTGGGAAAACATTAGGCATTGACCTAGGCATACTGAGACATATAACCTTAGTTTCTGTTGTACTTTAGTAAATGTTTTGTGCATCAATTACATTTTTGCCGATTGTACTGCTTGCTCATATGTACTACGTATATCACAACCCCCCGCGCTTTCTTTAGTTTTTTTTTCTGTTAGTATGCTATAGTCTGAACTATAGTTGTAGGTTAGCAATTAGCATTAGAGACCTCAGCAGCCCTTCTCTCTCTCTCCCCCTGGATATTCTTATGATTCCATGTAAGAGTAGTTAAAAACATTATGTTGTTGTATTTGATATGAGGTAGCTTTTCAGTTTTCTCTACATATAAGTATGACATTTCTTTTTTGTGCTTTGTTTGCACTAATCTTGCCACGCCATCTTCATGGTAAGTTGGGATTGTAGATGTTTGATATAGGACCGATGTTAACATTTCATATGGTGATGTGTTCTGCAAATTGCTTATATGATATGGAGCTTATTATGTACTGGCTGTGCAAAATTTTGACATCTTTGTTTTATTTTACTTACCATTTGTTGATATTGTTTTTGCATATTCTAAGCATCCTCATTTTTTTTGTCAATACAGGTTTGACAACACTACCTATTTGCACATACTGTGGCTTTTCCATAGCTCAAAGCTCTAAGTATGTGGAAACAAAGTGCATTATTGTATATATAATGGTTATGTTCTTTCTCAATGTCGTATTTTCTTTATTTTCTTTGACTAATCGTTTATTGTAACTATTTGTAGTGTGAATATATTGTATACAATGTATTGCTTATATAATATGATATATATTTTAGTATTACAAGGCATTAAATGTGATTTATTTTGATTATTTTCAATCTACAATATATAAATATATATATATAATTCACGAAATACAATCACGACACACGAATGTGTGTCATTTTCATTTATGACAGGGGCTTCAATGACACGTAATGTAAGTCATAATGCGTGCCATAAATTTATGACACACAAATGTGTGACATCTTCATTTATGACGGGGGCTTCAATGACGCGCAATGTAAGTCATAAATACGCGTCATAAATTTATGACGCATTTGCGTCATCTTAAATTCATGTCGGTGGCTTCAACGACAGGCAAATGTGTGTCATCCGCACCCATAGATGACGCACAATGCGCGTCATTAAAGGGGTTTTTTCTACTAGTGAAAATCATAAATGTGATGCATTGTGTGTCAAATGTATGCATTTTGAGTAGCAATTTTAATGGCCAGATAGCGGAATAATGATTGCTATATAGGGATAGCGACACCTTCTAAAACTACTACTGCAAAAATAACAATGTGAAGCGAAGCACACCAATAACGTTGGATCATAGTCGTAACTTAATGGGTAACGACCAATAGAGGCAATAACAGATTGCTATTCCTGATATGAGACTATCTCGATATCTCATATTATTTGAGCACATGTGCAATTTGTTTATTAGTTATTCGTTCATTCGATATTTGTTTATTTTCCATACACTCCGAATCAATAATTTAAGTATTGAGAATATGGTATCATTCGTATAATATGCTATGAGATTTGTTATGCGAAAGCATGTCTATGTTTAAGTTTGATAATTAGGTCGGATAAGATTCCTATGTTAAGATAAGATGCATATGTCATGGCATGTCTCAATGTTTAAGTTTGTTTTGCCAGCTTATGTTTATGATTTGCATGAAGTATAGTAGTGTTGATGTATACCAATGATCTTGTAAAGCTGAGCGTTCGAATTGTTTTCGTTTACAAGTTAATAGGTTTATGTTCGTGTTCAAGGAGCATCATCATCGAGGGATTCAAACGCCTTGTCCAGAGTACAATATTTGATTTACTTTAGTGAACATATGTATTAATAGGATCATGCTAGTATTTCAATATGTAAACTCGTTCGTTGTTTTGATTTATGTTTGATTTATACTATATCACATTTGAAATTCTAGTTTTGTATAACCATGTTCACTCTAGTTATAAATTGATAATCTCGTAAAAGGTTGTTTTTTGTGCCTTTTTTACTTAGGTTATTGTTTGTTTAAAAGGCCATTTCATTGCATTTAGTGTCATATAATTGCATGTAGTGGTAAAGTCTTTCTGCAGTATTTATTTGTTGAAAACCGATGCTGCTGAGGGAAAAGTCTTGCTCTTTTGGTGTTCTACATATGATGAAAGTTTAAGGAGAAGATTGGATGTTGTAATGATGGAGAAATGGTTGCTATAGCATTTAGGAGAAAGACTTGCCGCAGTGAAGATTGAAAAATAAATTTTGGAGCAGAAAAGACAAAATAGCAAAAAATATCTTTGCCAAGTTATCCAACCACACGTGACTCATTGCCCTTGTTGCAATTTTTGGGACGACAACCTAGCCTCCCATTCACATGAAGGGAATTATACCTAGGGTACAAAGGGGATTTTGGTACAAAACCCTAGGGATTACCTTAGTATAAATAGATAAGGATACCTCATTTTTAGAGAGCTTTTGGAGAGTGATTTAAGCAAGGAGATAACAACTCATCAACCTTCCATTTTCTTCTTCCTTTCCTCTATTTTCTTGGTGTCCTCAATAGCCAAGCTTCGAAAGGGTAGCAACTAGGACCTTGAGAGAGGCTAGCTTGCTAAGACAATCCATGATGGTGGAGCTAAGTGTCACATCAATAACTCATTGGGAGTTTTCTTCTCCTTGTGCTTTTATTTTTCTATCTTATTTGGGTTTGTACTTAACTCGAATGATATTGGATGAACTTAGCCACATTATGAACTAATTTAATTTGGCGTTAGATTTATTTTGGTTGATTTTATTTTGTGTTAATGGATGGTTTGATGTTTAAATGTTGTTTGTCATTTTTTTTACTTTATATGCTTTAGCATTGTAAGATCTTTTGAGATTTTCGTTTGCTGTAGCGTAATATTCTTAGTCTTGTAAGAGCTTTTAAATATTGACATATTCTAAGTATAGATACCTAATATCAGGAGAGCTAGGTTAGATTTACATGAGAAATGGGGCTTAGCTGCTAACTAGGTTTAACCTGCCTTAGAGATAAGGAGAGGGCTATAACACCCCAACCTGTATCCGCCCGAATACGAGTCTGAGGTGTCACATTGACTTTTCAAACTTTGACTCTTGACAAAAATTCAAGGAAAATTTAAAACCTTCATTAACTAAAGTGGTTTATTTACATAAATAACCAAAACAACCAAAATCGATCAGAGCATTTATAACTGACACTTTACTTATGCCAACATACTATACACGACAAAATACATACTTTATCAGTTACTTCTGATCTTCTTCTGGCAGTGCTGCTGTTATTTCCACTCCTATTTCTGTTCTTCTCGATTCTTGGTACCTACGTGTAAATCACTTACACGCTAAGTCATAGACTTAGTGAGGCATAACATAAATATATGTATACGCATGTATAACAATGAATTTATGAACATGCATCCTTACCATTGATCATGACATCTTAACTTGCATATATTTATTATACTATAACATATGATGGTAGTATGCACATATAAGACATATTTTTATGCTAATTT